CACGACCACCATAATAGTACCATAATCGTCGGACTTTGGTAGGCAAGTGATAATATAAAGTCCATAGTCACGCTCTCCATGGACGCTCTGCAACTGGTAGTGGCTCCAAAAGTCCGCCGAGCTGTTGTTGCTCGACCTTGTCCTGCTGACATACGAGACAAGTCTGCACATAACATTCTATATCATCTCGCATGCGTGGCCAATAGTAGACAGACTCAACCAAGGCCCTGGTGCGACGATGACCAGCCCACATTGTATCATGACTCTCCCTTATGATCCGCCGTCTAATGTCTCCAAACTTAGACACATAGACCCGCCGACCCGTGGTAAGCAATAGGCCGTCTTCTACCCAAAAACGTCTCATCTTGCCTTGGTTGGCTAACTCGATAAGTTGTTTGGCTGCCGGATTATGTTGCATTCCTTCTTTTATAGCCTCACGAATGTCCCAAGTTGCTGAAGTGATGGCAGCAATCTCGGCTTTCCGGCTCAAGGCATCAGCTACAACATTACCTTTGCTCGGCTTGTACTCTAGCACATAATCAAACTCGACCAAGAAGTCTTGCCACCTAGCCTGTTTTGGTGTGAGCTTCTTCTGCGTCTGAAAGTAGCTAGTAGCCACAATGTCGGTCTTGACCACGAACCTTGACCCGAGCAGATAATGTTGCCATGTACGAAGGCAATGCACAATGGCAGTCATTTCCTTCTCTTGCACAGTGTAACGCCGCTACGTCTCATTTAACTTGCGGCTCTCAAATGCTATGGGATGCTTATCCTGCATCAGGACACCCCCAATGGCGAAGTCTGAGGCATCTGTGTGCACCTAAAATGTCTTGGCAAAGTCGGGTAATGCCAAAACCGGCTCCTCTGTTACAATTGCCTTAAGGTGTTCAAACGCCTTTTGACAATGCTCTGTCCAGACCCATGGCTTCTTCTTCTTCAGCAGCTCAGTCAATGGTGCATCCTTTGCTGAGTAGCCACTGATGAATCGACGATAGTAGTTAACAAGGCCAAGGAAGGATCTCAACTACGTTACCTTTGTAGGTGCCTCCCACTCCTGGATAGCACGTACCTTAGCCTCGTCCAAGCGTAGCTCGCCATTGCTAATGACATGGCCCAAAAAGTGCACCTTTGATTGTGCAAACTCGCACTTCTCCCTCTTGATGTATAGCTCGTTCTCCCGCAAGACTTGGAAAACTTTCCTTAAGTGCTCCATGTGTTCCTCCAAGGTGTTGTTGTAGATGACTATGTCATCTAGGTAGACTACCACGAACTGATCAAGGTAGGGATGAAAAATCTTGTTAATAAGGGTGCAAAATGTGGCCGGTGCATTAGTTAAGCCGAAGGGCATCACCAACCACTCAAAGGCTCCATATCTTGTCACACATGCTGTCTTTTGCTCATCCCCTTCCGCAATGCGAACCTGGTAGTAGCCCTTTCGAAGATCCACTTTGGTAAAGTACTTGGCTTGCCCAAGTCTATCGAACAAGTCAGCAATGAGCGGGGTCGGGTACTTGTTCTTCACCGTAACCTTATTAAGTGCTCGGTAGTCTATGCACAAACGCAACGATCCATCCTTCTTCTTTTGGAACAATACTGGTGCGCCAAAAGGTGCCTTTGATGGGCGAATGTGACCAGCATCCAGCAACTCTTTCAATTGTTTCTTGAGCTCCTCTAGCTCGGGCGGTGCCATACGATAAGGGGCAAATGCAGGTGGCTTAGCCCCTGACTCCAACTCAATCTTGTGATCCACCTCTCGCCTAGGCGGTAAGTGCTTAGGCAACTCCTCGGGCATGACATCTTTGTTTTCCTCAAGCAACTTCTCTATGTAAGGCGGCAATGTTTCTTGAAAACTCTTGTCTTCCTCTAGACTTGCAATGGTTGCCACGAACATTGGCTCCCCTTTCTTGATCCCCTTGACAACCTGCATAGCTGAGAGTTGTGCTTGGATCTGTCCGTGTGGCATAATCACTATAGGTACCATGCAAGCTCCTTCTTGCTCCATAACCAAGAGACGTTGGAGGTAGGGGTCAATCAAAGTATGACAATGTCTAAAGAACTCTTGCCCCAGTATGATGTCAAAGATATCCATAGCAGTTACGGTAAAGTTTGTCATACCTTTCCAAGCTCCCAATTTGACACCTACTCCATTAGCTACCCCACGAGCATTTTGTACCTCGGCATTCACGGTCTTGACGCGAGAGTTGGTTGGAGTAAGCTTCAATTCTAGTCTCTTTGCGGCAGCCTCAGTCACAAAATTATGAGTTGCTCCAGTATCCACCATTGCACGAGCGGGCTTGTTGTTGATGGTGAGATCCACGTACTGATTGCCACTCTAGGTTGGATAGCTTGCTTTGTGACAGCACCACATAATCCGATCATACCCAACTGTGCGGTTCCCGAACTCTCTCCTTGCGGCTGCTCCTTTCGTCCACGGACTTTGGCGCTGAGGCTCTTTAGGTCAGGACAATTCCTGAAGTCGTGCGGCCCTCCGCATATGTAGCATCCCTTCTTCTCGGCCTGTGCCTTCTTCTCGGTGTAGCCCTGACGACCACTCGGCTTTTTGGAATCTTGAGTCTTGGAGTATTGATGATGTATCTCCTTGCCTTTGCCTCGATCTCCCCCGCCTTTGACATTGTTAACCTTTGACTCATTTCCATTGCCTTTGTCGTGCTTGTCATGCCTGAAATCCATCAATGATTCGGCCTCCACTATGGCTTGGTCTATATCAGTGACTTGTCGGCGTTGCAACTCCTGTTTAGCTCAATTTTGCAACCCGTCCATGAAGTGGAACAACAAGTCATCATTGGTCAGGTTGGGAATTTGAAGCATAAGGGTAGTGAACTCCTTGACATAGTTACATATGCTCCCTGTTTGCTTCAATTCCCTAAGTTTGCGCCTTGCCTCGTACAAGACATTGTTTGGAAAGAACTGTCGCTTGAACTCGGCTTTGAACTGATCCCATGTGCTAATAGTACATAGACCTTTATCCACGTCGGCCATCTTCCTTCTCCACCAAAGCATGGCAGTCTCTGAGAGGTACTAGGGGTGGGCATCGGTCGGTTCGGTTCGGTTATGAATATTATCGGTTTAGCATATCGGTTATCGGTTTACAAATTTGATAAACCGATAAGATATTGGTTATCGGGTATCGGTTAATCGGTTATCGATCATTATCGGTTCGGTTATCGGCTTACCCAATAAGATAACTCTATCAGAGTTAAGCAAAAAAGAAAAGATAATTCACTGGAGTTAAGCAAAAAAGAGAAGAATTCACATATAGTATACTAAAGACTTACGCTAGGAGTAACTAGTAAGGTCTATGAAGAATGAAGATGAAGCAACTGAAAAGTGGGGTTGAGAAAGAATAGGAGAGAATGAACTGAAGCCCTAGCATTTGTATATACTTAAGGGTAAATTCATAATATTATTAATTCTTATTGGGTTATCGGTTAACCCATTAACAAAATTGGCAAACCGCGGCCCGAACCGATAACCCAATAGTAAAATTCTAAACCGTTACCGAACCGTTAACCCAATAACCCGATACCGATAACCCAATAAATAATTAACGGTTCGGGCTATCGATTTACCCGATATATGCCCAGCCCTAAGAGGTACAATACCGCAGTGTTGATCTTGACCTCGTCGTCCCTCACTTTGTCATGCCTGAAGTAGTTCTCCAAGTGCCAAAGGAAGTTTTCCACTTCTTGTGCATCACGAACACCTTTGAACACCGGGCGTTTGGGAGCCTCGATCTTGGCCTCTCTCGTCACCACAACATTGCTGGCTGCCTCGGTCACGCCAGCATTGACATGCTCCTCGAGTGAATCTATCTTTGCCTTCATAGCATCGATAGTACTCAAAGCCTCCATGAGTTTGCACTCTAAGGCAGTGATGGTTTGCCTTAGTTCCATCTCGGTCTATGTACGTCCCTCCAAGTCATTTCGGATACTCTCAATCTCTTCAAGAGTGTGCCCCTCAAGAACGCTAAGGGTGCCTTCCACCTTCCCCAAGCGATGGCCAAAGATCTCTACGGCGTCCATCCCCACGTGCACCTTCATCACCCACACTTTACCGAGCGAGACGTCCTCGGGCAGGACCTCCACTTCATCCTCGCTCTCCTCAGTGGCAGATGGTTCTTGGGATGTAAGCCCTTCGTTTGACACAACCTCGGGTGGCACCTCCTGTCTCTTGTTAGTGGCATTCCTCTTTTTGCCACGATCGCTCTTGCCAGCAGCATCCTGGATGACGTTGGCTTGGGTGCTGGCAGCGTTAATTTCTCCGTCGTTCGCCATTCCCTTAGTTGAAACCTTCGCTCTGATACCACGTTGTCACGTCCTTAGTTGTTAACTAAGTACACGTGCGGCACTTGAAAACTCGCTCACGATCTTGCACAACTTGCTCACATTCTTGCTATGCCAAGTCAGCCTTACTACACTCAAGATCGCTAAGAGAATGGTAGAAAGAACACAAGAGAATTGTTAAAGAACACTTTGTATTAGAGAGAACTTGAATTGTTTTGCTTGATTGATTATAAATGAGTGGCCCCTTTTATATACTAGTCTCCTAGGGGCTAGTGTATAAATATTAATTATTATACAAGTCCTTGATATTTACAAGGTAAGGGCTTTCTCTAGAATTCTCTACAAGCCTAGAAGATTCCAAGAACTTTCTTAGCAAATCCATAAGGATCTAGGTTCTTCCTAAGGAAATGTCCATACTTCTGTAGAATCTTCTCACAAATGCTAGCCTTCCTCTTATGTAAGCTTCCATATGGCATTAATGTATGCCAAATGACGCCTATGTGGCATCATGACATGGCGGGTCATCACACTTAGGCTCTTAAAGGTGAGTTTGACCGACATCTCAACTACATAAAATTTGGGGGAAAACGACTTTCGTCAAAAAAACAGAAAAGGGTGAAAAACCAGACCCACATTTCATCTTCCATTTCACGCTCACACACCGAGTTCAAACTCAAAAGAGCTAATTCAGTAAAAATGTCTACTCATCCACATGCAGCTTTCAGGGGCTGCAGGTTTTTGCTTGAGGCAGCAAAAGCCACAACCCGATCCCCCAAAGCAGCATCTTCTTCTGCTTCCAAGAATAAGGCTGCTGCTACAGCCTTGAAATCGTCGACATCAGCAGGGAAGCAGGGTCGTTCTCCTTCAGCTCGACCCACTGGTATTTTAAAGGTAACCCCTGTTTCGCCCACACTTCATACCTTTCTTGGAGTTTCTGAGACTTCTCGGGGCGATGCTGTCAAGAAAATCTGGGATTACATCAAACTCCACAATCTTCAGGTACCCTTTTCTCTCTAGATATACTATTTGAGTATATTTACTCTTTGAATTATTTTGACTAGACAAATATTTTAGGAAAAGAAGATTTTTTATACATTAGTGAAATATATATAGCACTACTCGTATAATTTTTCATAAGTACTAGTGGTGTTCAACATGTGATGTCAATTCCTGTAAGGCAAGCTGTTAAGGTTAGTGAGAAGGTTAAGATTAAAGAGTTTCCAAACGGTAGTATGTTGACTATCTTCTTGGAGCAGATCAACGACGAAGAAGTGTCATATTAAATAGAAATGAAATGTACTAATGTTACTCCCTGGGGGTTTTGCAGTAAAAATATTTCTGGTGTTGGAGGTTTTCTGGTTTGTTGCTAAAAGGTTGCTGTTTGGCCTCAAGAATGCTCCATTTGATATACATTTGGGCATTCTGCACTCTTTTAGTTCCTCTAAGGATTTCAAATCCGTTGAATTTTTATGTTTTCTCCAATATGAAATGTGTGCATGCCGAGCCTCTAGGTTTATGATATCCTAACCTATTTGAACTTGAAGCATCAAAATACCTTTGGTTGTGCCCAGAAGGCAGTTTATTTCCCTTGGTAGCACTTGGGCATTGGAATAGTCTGAAGTAATATGACTTGCAAAGCAAGGTTGAGCAGCTGACTGTCATCCCAGATAGAAATAACACTATAGCTGTAAATATGCTGGTGAATGTATAACAATATTAAGCAGAGGCGAATTTATAGGCGAGACTGTGGGGCACGTGAACTCATGGTCTCTCTGCAAAATCAAATATTTTATGTACATATTTTTTAAAACTGATATAGTATTAACTTTGGCAATTATGCTCCAAGAAGGCTGAATGATGCACTTGGTTGAATGTTGAGATGTTGAGTTATTTACCAACAGGAATAGGGATCAATTTTCACTTAATATATTTTCCTCCTTTTTTTAGTAGTGAACCCATGTACTAAAAATCCTAAATCCGCCTCTGATATTAAGACATGAAAACTCCAGGTCTCAGTTTCCTGTCATAAATTAGTTCAAGCCTGCTAGGCTGAAGAAGTAACAAACAGGTTTAAAGAACAAAATAGATACTGAGTTGTGGGGAAAACGCTGAGACTGTTAGTCATTTATTTCTACATTGCAAGATAACAGACCAACTATGGAAAATCTTTATTAGTCTTAGGGGTATTTCATGGACAATGCCATACAGGATTAATGATGTTCTTTATAGTTGGGAAGAAGCTGGTGCTGAAGCAACTAACAGCGATAGATGGAGGACTGTCCCGGCTTGTATCTGGTGGACAGTTTGGAGGGAAAGGAATGCTAGATGTTTTGAAGATAGAAGCAACCCAGTACAGAAGATCAAACTCAATTGTATTCTTCTTTTTTGTTTTTGGTGTAAACAGATTTATACAGAAGATACATTGACAATCGTAGACATACTAGGATCTTGCTAGGTTGCACACCAGCACATCTACTTACCACCTACTTGTAAATTTGTTTTTAAGTGCAACCTATGTACTGATGTTATTAATATATACAAAAGTTACCAATTCATAAAAAAAAGTCTCCCTTTGTTTTTTGTTAACGGGCTCAGAACATTTTTTGTCAGCCTTTCCCGGCTCATGGTTTCAGAATTTTCTCCGTTAGCTACTTTATGAGAAATTCATTATCTACGGACTCATTGTTCTTTATGCTGTTGATCTCATTATCTCCTGTCAACACTCGTTGAGAATCGTTTTTTATAGACTTCACCTGGTTTAAATCTTCTTCTCTATCAATCGTGCTAGTTTAAACATTTCTTTCTCCCCTTCTCGTGTTCCTAGCTTTTATACAGGGCATCTAGGGCTTCCTCTCCAGCTTTACTAGTAGCCTTCTTAGCTTCGCTCATAGCTCTCTTATACTCTTACCTTGTTTTCTGTAGTGAGAGTGGTCAAATGGGACTATTCTTTTTTTTTTCTTTTATAAGTGAATGGGAGATAAATCCGCTACCTAACAAATGCTTTAGAATACTCCATCCAAACCAGTTGCAGAACTAATATTGAAAATATGCATCTTTTGCCTTTGCCGGATGTCAATTCTATTCGTATGTGCATAAATATAATGAAGGGAAATGATGCTTAGAGTTCTCCAGAGGTTAATTGCTGTTTGCTTTTCCATGGAATAATGTTTATGCTTTTCCCTATTGGAATAATATTTCTTCAGTCTTTATTTGACAAATAGCAAAGCATCTCTTGCTTTTGGAGCTGTAGTACACATAGTAGACAGACTCTTAGTATCATTTCTCGAAAAATCTCAATTTTCTTCTGCCTGCAGGACCCCATGAATAAGAGGGAAATCAATTGCGATCACAAGCTCAAAATACTATTTGGAGGGAAGGACAAAGTGGGGTTTCTAGAGATTTCCAAGTTGCTCTCTGCTCATTTCGTGAAGCCTAACTGAAGTAGTCGTTAAAATCATCCATGCTTGACTCTTGATATTGTACATAAACTACTTTGACTTCTAGACATTAAACTCTGATTTGCAACTTGTTTGCTTAGTTTGCTAGATGGACATCTTGTATAAAGTAAAGTAGGAAGAAGCAGAAAGAGTAGCGGCTTATAAACAATGTATGTTCATTTCTTACTTCAGTGAAATGTAATGAATGTTTTTCCTGTATCTTCCATTGTATACATAAGTGACAGTTAATGAAACATGATAACAAAGAATTTTCAACAGCTCATAGAAAGTTATGTCTTTCTTCAATCTTACTGCTGATTAAGATTGGAAAGCATAATAACAAGCAATCAAGCATAGGGGTAATTCATAAAAGCCTTGAGGAAGATCTCATTAATTGGCTCACAATGTGATTACGAACAATGCTATCCATTTGCCACAAATAATGCATTTTGATGAACAATGTTATCCATTTGTCACAAATAATAGGGTAAATTTGCTGTATATTTACCTAGTTCGACAACAGCAGGAGAACCATACCATGGTCTAGTAGCATCATCAGAGCCAACAGGGGAATGGTAAACTCCATCCAGAGTGATATTAAGTGCGCCTTTCAGATGAGCTGAGATTTCTGGCACAACTCCATCATCCCAGACATCTGCCTGGCCGCAAACCTGGCAAATTATCAGATTGTTAGATTACTTAGATAACAGATATGTGCTCGTGCGATACTGAAACTAGATGACAGGAGTATATAGATTGATAATTTGAGCAATATCAAACTCAAGGGCGCCTGTGGTATGAACCTGCTTGTAGCCTTGACCAACAAACCGTGCACGGAAAGTGGAAACTGTTTCTGGATTTGTGTTGCTTACAGTAGCAACCTCTGACGTTGGCTGGTCAACACTAAGCTTCCACTTCAGAACTGTATGTTGAACTTGAACCAAGGAAACGAGACCCTTGAATATACCTACACAAGTGAAACCCATTAAGTTTTTCTCAGTAAGGCGTTAGGTTAAGAAATGATTACTAATCACAACAGAGGCAAAAAAAGTTAGGTGATTTCTTCTCATCTGCCTAAGCTTTGGTAGACAGAGTTACCTAGTATCTTTGCTGGAAGGAGGTAGCAGGTACTAGGTGGAATAGCCGAGGTACACGCAAACTAACCCGGACACCATCATTATAATAATTGCTTAGATAGACATCATCCATGTTGTTTATCTCAATATTTTGTCCAATAGACAGCAAAAAGTTTACATAGTTTTAGCTTATTTTGAATTATATACGACCTTGTTAATTTGATCTTCCGGGCAGTCTGTATGTCAATAAACAGATCAAGCAGGAACCGATCCTCAAGCAAGTTAGTTCTCATTCCCACGGTTGTTTGTTGTTTCATTCTTAAATGCATGCACAACTATTGGCATAATGTCATATTGCTTCATCTGCTTATTGTAGTGTGCTGCCACTTTTTGCAGATCATATAGACTCAATCGACTCCTTCAACAGGCTATCCTATGGCATCGGAAAGAAAGACTGCAAAGTTCTATTAGCATTTTGATAGGAGCTTCCATAATTTTTTCAGTAACCACTTCTGTTATTATAGTTATGCGTATGAAAACGATCTCTACACTTGCTGGTTGCAATTAAACCGTGATATGTCACATTAATACATCATTAATACTAGAAACATTAATACTGCCATATTTATAATTGCAACTAAAGCAGACAGTTAAGTTTCTTCAACAATCCCCTTCACTATCATTGAACATTAAAAGAACTAAATGAAATGAATGTGTAAACATCATTGATCATTCACAAGAAGCACTAGAAATCAAGCACATGAACAGAACGCCAAAATTTGATATTTACCTCCCTGCTATACATACATATCTAAGTTGTGGAGAATAGACAGCTTTTGCACAATGCTCTTCAACGTAATACAAGAGGCCTCTTGTTTGATCAATTACTCCTGGCAAACCTTTAGGTGGGGGCCTAATGAAACCAAATAACACCAGTGTTAGGCTTATGCAGAACAATCTCCCTAAGAAATTCCATCTATTAAATCTAGTATTAATAGTTGAATAGATACACAAGGTAACTATATGATGAATGAATGAATTTATACATACAGGTGGGGAGTTCCTGTTGGACTTTAAAGGCATTGAGCTTCAAAGACTTTAAGTATTGAAGTATAAGAGTGTGAATTGCAAATGGTGGGAAATAAAATGGAGGGAAATTAAAATATGAATGAAGTGAGCTTTGACTTGCACTTTGTCCCTCATTGGTGAGGGACAACTACATTTGTGTGCTTATATATAGAATCACTTCTTAAAGCTCTTAAAAGGAGTTGAAGAAAATGATCCCTCGCGTCGTCGTCGTCGCTCGCTCGGCTTCAGCTTCGGATTTGTCAATCGATAAGATTATTTTTGGACAAAATTTATGTAATTAATTATTTAATAATTAATTAAATGCCAGATCACTGCTGAAGATTCAGAAGGATAGTCTGGCCGTGTTCCTGGCGTAACCGCAGTAGGACCGCGCCAGAACCCTGCTGCAGATTCAGAGGGCCACTCTGGCCGCGGTCCTGGCGTAACCGCGGTAGGACCGCGGCAGGCCGCGTAAACTTCTGAAAAGGCACCTTTTCCAGAACAAATATCACACCTCTTCCAATAATTGCCTATAAATTATGAGGCATGGCTTCGTTTTTAACACACCAAAAACATTACAGAACTTCCTTTCTTTCTGAAAATACTGCATTCTAATTCGCAGTCTCTCTCTCTCAAATTCGTAAGTGTGATTTTGCTCTGTTCTTTAAGTTCGTTGGTATCCTGCAGTTTGTATTGCCACTGTTGCAGGAAGGTTTATTCCGTTTTATCCTGGGAGGATTTAATCCATTACCTAGGCAACGTGTGAGGGGTTAAAATTCCTTAAGGACGCACAAGCAAATTGTGGACTCGGAATATTTCTTAATCTTTACTGTTTTTCCAGTTTCTTTTATTCTTTTAACAGTTTTTTCTGATTTTGTGTTTTAACACAGAAGCAACAATAAGCTTAAGAAATTTTATTTTATACTAACGTTTCTGTGTTAAAATATATATTAAACTGTTATTTATATTTTGTATACTGGTTTGGAGACTAAAGCCTTCGTGCTTTCTACTCCAATAATTGTTCTGTCCGGTTTAAAGTATATCAAAATTTTACCGGAAAAATAAACGTACGGGTTTGAAGTATATAAAAACTTCACCATTGTTACGTGTTGTATGTTTGGTTTGGTATTCAGTTTGAAGATATCAAAACTTCACTGATTTAACAAAGTTCTGTTTTGTTTCCAGCTCTACAGAAAAATGACGAATGAAAACCAAACTAATGAAAATGTTGCGGGAACGAGTGCTACTGTTACGAGTGTTGCTACCTCGTAAAGCCGTTCAACTCCTGCTCATGCTATGGCACCAGCAGAAAAACCCGGAAAGTTTTCCGGTATTGACTTCAAGCGTTGGCAAATGAAGATGCTCTTCTATCTTACTACGTTGAGTTTGCAGCGATTTATCAAGGAGGATCCTCCGGTCCTGGCTGAAGGCATTTCGAATGACGAACAATTTGTTGTAACTGAAGCATGGAAACTGATTTCTTGTGCAAAAACTACATTTTGAGTTGTTTGGAAGATAGCTTGTACAATGTCTATAGTGTCATGGAAACTTCAAAAGGGTTATGGAATGCGCTTGAGAAAAAGTACAAGACTGAGGATGTCGGACTTAAGAAGTTCGTGGCTACAAGGTTTTTGGATTTCAAGATGATTGACACTAGGTCGGTCATAACTCAAGTCCAAGAATTACAAGTCATTGTGCATGACCTCCTTACTGAAGGTATGGTCATAAATGAGGCCTTTCAAGTCGCTGCTTTCATTGAGAAGTTACCTCCGTTGTGGAAGGACTTTAAGAACTATCTTAAACACAAGCGGAAGGAAATGACACTTGAAGACTTGATTGTTCGTTTGAGGATAGAGGAAGATAACAAAAATGCTGAAAAGAAGTCACGTGGAAACTCGACAATAATAAGGGCTAACATTGTTGAGGAGGCGCCACAAAATAAGAAGAGGAAAAAGGCTTCTGGACCAAAGAATTACCCAAGCAAGAAAAAGTTCAAGGGTAATTGCCACAACTGTGGAAAGTCTGGGCATAAGGCCGTGGACTGTCGTGCACCAAAGAATGATGTACAAAAGGAAAAGAAGAAGAAGAATCAAGCAAACATGGTTGAAAATGTTGAAGACATGGAGGACTTGTGTGCTATGTTGTCTGAATGCAACTTGGTAGGAAATCCTAAAGAATGGTGGATTGATTCTGGAGCCACCGGCCATGTTTGTGCTAACAAGGAGTTATTTTCTTCTTATGCCCCTGCAGGACCCGACGAGACAATTTTCATGGGAAATTCGTCTACAGCCAAAATTGAAGGAGTTGGCAAGATTGCGTTGAAGATGATGTCGGGAAAGATTGTGACTCTAAACAAAGTTCTCCATGTTCCAGAAATTCGCAAGAATCTGGTGTCTACCTCACTTCTTGTCAAGAATGGATTCAAATGTATTTTTGTTTCCAATAGTGTTGTACTAAGTAAGAATGATATGTATGTAGGAAAAGGTTACCTGAATGAGGGCCTTTTTAAGCTAAATGTAATAGCAGTTCCTATTAATAAAGCTAATGCTTCGTCTTACTTACTTGAGTCAAACACTTTATGGCATTTACGCTTAGGTCACGTCAACTTCAAAACATTGCGAAAAATGATAAATTTAGACGTATTGCCAAAATTTGATTGCATTAATTCCAAATGTCAAATATGTGTGGAATCAAAGTATGCTAAGTATCCTTATAAGTCCGTTGAAAGGAATTCAAGTCCTTTAGACTTAATTCACACAGATATTTGTGACATGAAGTCAATACCATCTCGCGGTGGGAAAAAGTATTTTATTACTTTTATTGACGATAGCACAAGATATTGCTATGTTTATTTACTTAATAGTAAAGATGAGGCAATTGATGCTTTCAAGCAATACAAGAGTGAAGTTGAAACACAACTAAACAAAAAGATCAAAATGATAAGAAGTGATAGGGGTGGAGAATATGAATCTCCTTTTGAAGAAGTATGTTTGGAAAATGGCATTATTCACCAAACAACTGCCCCTTATTCTCCACAATCTAATGGAATTGCGGAGAGAAAGAATCGAACGTTGAAAAAGATAATGAATGCGTTGTTGATAAGTTCTGGTTTACCACAGAACTTGTGGGGGAAGCTATACTTACAGCTAACCGAATAATCAACCGTGTACCTCATAGTAAACCACAGTCCATTCCCCATGAAAAATGGAAAGAAAGGAAGCCCAGCTTGAAATACTTCAAAGTGTGGGGGTGTTTAGCTAAGGTACAAGTTCCTAAACCTAAAAGGGTTAAGATAGGTCCAAAAACGGTT